CCAGGTCCCGTCGTCCGTCCCCCCCCGGCTCCTCCCAGCCCCAGCGTCCGTGCCGCCCCCCGCGCTCCACTGCCGCCGTTGCGCCCCGTCGGCCCCGCTCCGCCCCCGCCCGCCGCCGTTGCTCTGTTCGTCGACATGGCGGTTCCGGTGCTGGTGCTGGTGCTGCTGCCCACCTTCCTCACCGGTACCGGGCGCACGGCGCCGGGCAGTGGCGGTAGAGGGAGGCGAGCCAGTCCCGGGGAAGCGGGGGGGAAGAGGGCCGGTCCTGTGCCCCGGCCGGTGCCGTCCCAAGGGAGGGGAGACCTGAACCGGTACCGGGCACCGGCCGGCGTGGGTGGGAGGCCGCGGTATCTAAGCCAGTAGCGGGCATCGGCCGTCCGGGGGCGGGAGAAACGGTACAGGACGGTGCCGGAGACCGGCTGGTCGGGGACCGGACCGGTAACGGAGACGGGCTGGTCCGGGGGGGAGGGGGGTTGTCGGGGGGAATCCGGGCGGGACCAGGCGCCGTTAACGCCGGTTACTCTCCACAGGGCTCTTCTCGCGTCCCGGCGCCGTTGCCAGCGTCCCGGTGAGTGCCACCTGCCCCGTCGTCCCCGGGAAGGACGATCCCACCTGCCCTCCGTGTCGCCAACCGGGCATCCCGGTGCAGGCGCTAGCTCCGACGCCCCGCGGCCGCCCCTCCGGTACCCCTGCTCGGCCGCCGGAGATGCCCCAGTCAGTCTCTCCCCACAGCTGAGGGAGCCCGGCACCCGCCTGCTGAGGGCTGCAGCAGAGGTGTCTCGGTCATTCCCGTCTCTTACTGGCCCGGTCTGCGGTTGCCCTTGACGGGGACGCGCTGTCTGTGTGTCCCACTGATGCTAAGACATTGGAAGGAGCTGCGTGGTGTAGCACGTATATGTCCTGACACCGCAGCTCAAGCTGTGCCAGGCCGTAGAAGCCAAGCCACAAGCGATAAGAGCATGAAAGATAATGCGGCACTTGATAATGCTGTGCCAGCTCCTGCCGAGCGCTCCTTCCTGTGCATGAGTGTGCCAGGGTTCTTCAGCGGCTCTCAGATCAGAAGCTGCTGATCTGAAAGGGCTCAAGAGACCTGTTTCAGACAATGTATCTTAGACTTCTCATGCACCTGTCTTCCCTAGCCTGCCTGCTACAAGTATGGTGTGCCTGGATGTCCAAGGGACTACAATCCAGTTTGTGGGACCGATGGAAAGACCTACTCAAACGAGTGTGTGCTCTGCCTTTCAAACAGGTAGTTGCTTAATTGACATCCTAACCTTCTCTTCCCTATATGCAAGCAAAATATTCACCCTCACATCCCAATTACCTGATAGATTATTGGCTTTGGATCGTTCACACTCTGTTGAACTGCAGTTTTAGCAGTGTCTTCTCAACTGTCAATGCCTTGCAACAGCTTTTATCATGATATCTGTAAATTGCTTAGATTAGATTCACTTGGCTGGGAGTACTGGATATTCTCTTTTGTAATTCTTAAGGAGGAGCATCTCAGAGGGCAGCTGGCCACGTTCATACAGTGGCACATTGCCATTAAATATAATGCTGGACTCTTCCACACTCTCCATCAGAAAACATGAAAGATCCCACCCAAAATGCATCTTTTACTACAAAATATTTACTTTCAAGATCCAACCTCCTGTACTTCCTGTACAGAGAAGAGTAAGAATGCCAAATGTTAGGATAAAATACTATTTTGCCATTCAGATTGTTTAAAAATCAAGAAAAAGTTCTAATATTTGAGGGAGGGTATTTTACTCTTCAATAATTTAATAATTTTTTTTAAAACAAACTGAAAACATAGAAAATCAGTACATAATAAGCATTGTTGCCCCTCATCATGATTGACTGGACGCTCTATAGAGCATCGCCTCAGTACAAACCGAGAGGAACTGCTTATGAATTGAATGTAATGGTGAAAGGAATTTATATAAATGAAATAATAGAATTTCTGTTTCCAGCAGAGGGAATAAGGGAGAGCAGCATAACAGCAGTGATGGGCATTTACAAAATTACAAATAGATAGATGTCAAGAAAGGGATGTTTCTGTCTGTGGGTTGGGGAAAGATTAATTGTGACCAGATACTTTACAAAATCCAAATGACCAAGACAGAGGGAACATGGGCCAGAATAAGGAAAGTGTCAAAGGACACTTAAGGAAATAATATTTTAAAGAAAGTGCCAAAGTGTATCAAAGTATGTTTAAGGGTATGCAGATCTGCAGAATTTGGTAACATTTTCACTAGAGTGCATCATAAACTACCCAAGCAAATGACAAATTGTAAAGAGAATTGATAAACCTACAGTCTAGGAAAAAAAAAACCAAAAACGAAAAACAAACAAACGACCAGGGAATCAAAGGGCACACACAGTACAATCTGTGAAAAGGGGAGAAAAGAGGTGCTGGCATGCTACGTGTTAGGAGCCTACCCATCTTTGCTGCCTAGAACAATGTTGGAGTAAGTTACTAAGTGATTGACTTGAAGACAGCCAGAGGTAAAAAAGAGAGTAAGCAAAGATAATACAGATTTTTCAGGAAGAATCTGATCAAGTCTGTGAGATGTATTTTTTTGGCAAGATAACTGGCCTAGCAGAGTTGGAGGAAACAGAAGTGTTGCTCCATGACATTAATAAGGCATTTTTACATAGCTCCACTTGACATTCACATAAGCAAACAAATAGTTATTCAGCTGAAATTGTTAAACAATGAAGTCATAAGCAGTTTCAAGTGCTGTGGTTTAAAAGCAGTAATCAGCAGTTTACAACCAAACTGGAAAGACCTATTAAGAGGGATTTCCTTCAGGTGTGGTATATAATTCAATATTTTTGTAATGAATTGGATGTCAGAAACAAGACAATCAAAATTTGCAAAATGGCATGAGATACAATGATCTATGCAGGACAGCATCAAAATTCCTAGGGATCTGGAGAAATGGACTGAAATCGGTACAATAAAAGTCAAAGAGAAGTGCTAAGTATCACACATAGAGAATGCAAATCCATGTCGTGGAGATATAGACAGGAGAGTGTCTCATGACCTAAACAGTATATTTGATCCTTTCTCAGAGCAGAATTATGGGCTTTGAGATCCAGCCTTACATTTCTAGGATGTTTCATTTTTTAGGCAGGTTCCCTCAGTTCCAGATGGGTGCATGGTAGATTGCTGAATACAGCATTGCACATAGCACAAAGGGTTCTCTAGGCAAACCTGCTGTTTCTTTCCACTCAATTCCTTAAGTAATTCATGATGGGGCTTACTTCTTATTAGTATGAGTTGTAATGTACATGTTTTCATGAAACAATGGGATTTAATCCAGTTACACAAGGTAGATTTTTATCTTAACCATGGTTTTTTTTCTGGCATCTTACATGCTCAGAAACATGCATTTTGGTCTGAAGGGGCACAGGGTGATCAGATACTATCTTGATTTTTTCTTTAATAATTCAGTATTGGTGTACTCAGTGGCTTTCTAGTTCAGTCTGGAGTTGTTCTAAAGCGTTTGACTTGGCATGAACACAACATGGATAAAACACTTTGTCTTATTGGAAGAATTTCAGCTTTGAAAAATGGTTCATAGTCACAAGCAATGGTCATTTCACTTCAAGCAGTCTAAGGTACAGTCCATCACACTCCTTAGGAGGGGAGAACAAAGAGATCGTTCTGCCCTTCTTAAGCTGCATGACCAGTAGTTGCTGAGATAGTGTAATGTGGTGATGTAGAAACAGACATATATGGGCATATCCCATAGTGAATTACAAAACAGTCATGTCTAAATGAACTTGGGTGATTCTCAACAGCCAATTTGCAAGTCACTTCCAGCTTGTGTTTAAGCCCATTAAAAAACTTTTAAGAGGGAGTTGTATTAGCTCCCAAACTAAGGGACACTTGGCTAAAATTTTCTTAAAGAAGATTCCAACGTTCAGAGAACCACACATTCAAATTTTAGTGAAGCCTGGGATGCAGAAATTAATGAGGATGTATACCTGTCCCACTGAATTCCCACGTGAAAGGGGGAAATTTTGTAAGCATTAGAACTGGTTCCCACTTCAGGGACTGTGAAGTTTGACTTGCATTAGTGCTTTGTAATGGACACATTAGTCCTCAAGGCCTGATTTGTCATGTGGTTTGATACTTCTCAGATTTGCAGATGGCTTTATCAGGTTTTTACAGGTAACAAAGCCTGAAGTAAGGCTGTCTCTGGTAAGTTACTCTGTGCAATTCATAAATCTTTGTATCACAGTTAATTTGCAGTAATATTTGCCATAAGTGATGCAATTAAATGCATTGCTGCATTTAACTGAACACATAGAAAGACATGGGAGAGTCCGCTTTATAAAATGTCTCTGTTAAATTCAAGTGTAGTGCTTCACTTCTAAAATATTTTTCTTTTGCTTGCAGTGAAAATAAAAAGTATGTCCAAATTTTCAAGATGGGAAGATGCTGATATGGCAGATGGCCACTTTTCAGGAAAATGAGAGGGACACAAACATTCCAAATGGAAACAATGCCTTAAAGGTGCCTTCTATGTAGCCTGTCTTAATAAATAAATTTGCCTGTTTAAACAAAGTAGTGCATTAAAACCAGTGTTTATAAACATAGCCATAGTACACTTATAACCTGAACCCCGATTTGTTTTCTCATGCAAGACAGATCATGGGGGAAGAAAGAGATGTCCTGACTGTATACCAGTAGGTCACCTGGTTGGAGATGGAAATGAAGAGGTACCCAGTGCCATTCCCACGGCACCACCTGGGAGCAAGGAGGTCCCAGCATTTCCGCTGCAGGCAGTGCTGGCGGCAGGGGCTGCTCATTGTTTCTGGGAGGCTCTGAGCCTGCAGGTGCCAAGGACCCCTGGGGAGCTACCGCCAGGCATTTGCTGTGGGGGCTACCAAACTGGTGACAGCAGCCTGACATGTACCAAGCCTCTGCCCTGGGGTCCGTACCTGCAGGTCCTGCTGGGGGAGGGCAGTGACCTGGGCACCCTCTGCTCCTGCCCCGAGTAAGTGCTGTTTGGGGCTGCAGGAGGAGCAGCCAGGGGGCACACACTGCCCTCTGGGCTCTGCTCCCTGGGGCATGGCCATGGCAGCCGTGCCCCCTCATTCCTGGGGCACCAGCTGTGAGAGACCGAAAGAGTTAATGTCTCAAAACATTGCAGTGGGGCAAGTTCTGCCTAACAGCAAACCCTGCATGAAAAGAAGCCGATCAGCACAGGACATCAAGCAACAGGACGCGGAGGCCGTGCTGTGTCGGAGGGTGCGCAGTTCCCTGTTCTGCTATGCTGAGCAGGGCAGCTCACCATGCGTGGCCAAAAACCAAACAACAGTCCTGTCTGCAGGGAAGGAGAAGTTACTCCCCAAATGGCCCCCAAGCCCACTGACCCATTTCCTAAAGTTTCTGAAAGCACAAACTGTACATGACACCTAATTAGCCTAATGAGTTCAAGTGCCCGCCCGAAGAGAGGAGCAAGGACATGATAAAAGGACACAAACTGAAGCCCCATGTGCATGCACCCACCAGAACAGGGCCCCACCGCTGACTGGACCAACGTTGGACCTGGGACCAGTGAAATCCTTCTCTTTTCATCTTTCTCTCCCTGTCTCACTCCCTCTTTCTCTCTCCTTTTCCATAATCCCTACACCTTATCCCTTCAGACATAAAAACCATAGACCAAGTCTGGGACTAGGAGTGGATCCAGCTGCCCCTGGGCTCTTCTCTGAGAAGGAGTCTAGAAAGCAAGGGGATCTGCTCTTAACCTTGTGACTCAACAGGAGGGGTCTCCTTATTGTCTTCCCCGAATTGATGTATATGGTTACCACGGGTCACTGAGGTAGTTCCATGCCAATTCCTGTTGAGAGAAGCCACACCCCCTGCTGTTGCACCTTCCAAGTTCAGGAGGCTCCTGCTGTAAATAAAATGTCTAACTCATCATTTGGTGTCGTTTCACCTTAATTTAGCCTGAGGGAATTACGAACTTACCACAACCCCTCCCTGGTCTGTCCAGTACGGGTCGTGACACCAGTGTCACCACCCTGGGCTGGCATGCCATAGTCACTTCCCGCAGCAAACATTAAAGCAAAATCAGAAAACTCAAGACTCATGTAAAAGGGCACACTCTGGAGTGGGTCTGGCAGACCTTCCCACAGGGAGGAGGGTGTGCAAGCACTGGGGTTCCATCCTTTCCTTCAACCCATTGCCATGCACATGGGCACATAGCCTTTCTTACGTTATTCCCTTCTGTTAAACACCTCTGTTTTCTGCATGTTGCTTGAAATGAACTGTATTTGGGTTGTCTTACAGCTTGTTGGTAATACATGGATGGCTTCTACCTTTCATCCAAGCCAAGTGGCACTGGCTCTCGCCCTGGCCCCAGACAATGGCTTCATCAGGCTTTGCTGGGCAGCAGCAGTGCAGGCAGAAGTGTATGGCACACTTTATGCCTGATGAACGTTCACAGATCAGTGGCTTTGAAAAACAATAATGCTTTTGTCTTATAGTTCCTTTAAAAGGTCGAAGCCATCCTTATCTTCCAGCACATGCCCGCTTTCATCTCCTTCGTGCAAAGGGTAATCATTGATGGAGGGTTCTCATGTGTGGCACAACTGGAGGGCTGGAAGCTTAGGATAAAGTGGTCATGTGGAGACATGAATATGTGGATAGAAAAGAAAGATGACCAGTGCTTCCCAACAAGTCATCAGTTGTTCATAGAAAATCAATTTTCTCTATTGGTAGCAAATCCAGTGGAGAAAGTTCCTGTGTGCTGCCAGCTGTTACTTCCACATCCAGATCTGGAAATTTTCACTTTTTTCAAATTGTACCAAATGCCAAAGCTATGAATTAACAAGTGGATGGAAACGATAAGCTGTTTCTTTTTGTATTTCTATTTTGACAACTAATTGTGCTTACAAGGGAACTTTAAAAAAAACTCAGAAAAAAATAGCTGTCTTTTTGTAACACCACTAAATGAAACGAATCCAAATAAAAAATAGCTTGTAGGCTGACAATCGTAATTACACTAGAGCACTGCTCCCAGCATATGAATGCTTAAAATATAACCTTAAAGCTGACTTTAAATCTTCCTGGTTTTCTGTGTATTTGAAAAGTGGTGAATTCAGCACCACTACTCACCAAATCTGCCCCCGACATCTGTACTTCATTTTCTGTAATTTAAAAAGTTCTGGCAATTCCCACAGGTAAATTTTGACAGAAAAAAATGTGAAGAAAAGCAGAGATGTATGTCACGGATCCTACTTCTTTCTAGTCTTACCGAAGACAAGAGACCTCTCGTTCAGCAGAGCTCTACAAAGAATATGGGTGGGATCGTTCTTGTGCTTGGGAATGTCTAGAACATTTTGGAGTTTTTTGAAGGTGAAGACCACTTCACAGTAACTTCTGCATGACTGTCTATGAAGACTAAGGGAGAAGGATTCCTATGTAGGAGCAGAAGTTTCCTTATCATGGTCTGAAATAATCTTGATGGGCATTTGATACATTTTTAATTAATGTTTCAACATTTCTTGTAGTGTATTTATAGTGCATTGTGAAGTTGTATTCTTGCTTTAGGTAGACCCATCTTCTTGATGTGTTTTGCAAGGATGAAAACTAAAATGTAGAAAAATAAAAGACTTTCAGTGCTCTCAGCTGGATCGTTGCAGAGCTGAATGTAAAATATCACTTGTATCCTTTCCCAAACACACACAAAAAAAACCCCAAAAACCCCAAACCAGTGTTGTACTCCAATTTGCCATTTACATACCTTTATAGATGAAAAAGTTGTTGTTTCAGAATTTCAGTATGGTGGACTTAATTTTTGTTTTAAATCAAAATTTTGTGCTGCATGTGGGACAGTGCCAGAAAGGTTTAATCATATCATATCATAATCCTCACTCAAAAAAAAAAAAACAAAAAAACCAACCCTTTTCTCAAACTCATGAAAAAACCAGTAATGTTTATGAAGCTTTATAGCTCAAAAATCTGGTGAATTGTAGTATGATTGGCTTAATTTTTGTTTTAAGTTAAAATTGTACATTATGTTTAGGACAATGCTGGTCTTATTCATACGAAGAGTAGGACTCTTACACTTCTAGAGTAGGACTCTAAGGCTTCCTATGAAGCCTTAGGAGAAGGCTTACTTGTATGACGAGTCTTTACTCTTGTGATTTAATCCAATTGCCTTCAGTGGTGCTGTTAGAGGTCTATTTTACATTCAAGTGAGGTACAAAGTTGTCTAAATGAGAGAGTGCTAGAGTAGCAAAATTAAGTGGCAAAGAGGGAAAGACAGCCTGGGAGGTCTTGCATTGCTGGCTAGAGTGGGTCAACACTGATGACTTCCACATGCTCTAGTTGCCCCAAATTTGGACAACAGTCTGCTTGTTCCTAAAACTGTCACCCAGCTGCCTTTTTGGCTGCAGGAAGGGTTTCACTGGCTGGCAACTCTAGCCTCTGCTGCTCAGGGAAGTCACCCAGCAAGGAGGTTTTTGAAGCCTGCCTATGCTCCAGTCCTTCCTATTTCTGGAGCACATTACTTGGAGGGGAAGGTGATCGGGCAGGCTCAGGGCGTGATGAAGTACACAGATGCTGAGGCCATAGCCATGTTGCACTGGGTCTAGCAACCCTCTCAGTCGTGGTACCCAGAGCTCCTTGGAGTAGGTGGCATTAGCTTTTCTACTAAACCAAGGCAGAAAAGAATTCTCTTGAGATTATTTTTCTTTTAAACATTTTACATTGCTTTTCTTATTGTAATAAACATAATCATTGAAAGCAGGAGTTGCCCAGAATCTCCTTATTTTGGTAAACTTCTCTTAATTAGTTTTTTATTTTCCTGAATCTTATTGTTATTCACTTTTCAGGCAAAGTGGGTTTTGGGTGGAACAGTTCCTCAAGTTTGTTGCAACTGCTGTAGCTAGGATGCCCAACTTTCCTTTTGCTCTCTCTTGTTGCATTTTAGATTGTGCTTTATACTTGCTGCTGTTCTTCAAACTGTTTAAACATATATTTCCAGCTGGATCAAAGAGGTGCATTTCTCATCAACAGCCTGGTGTATATCATTGAGTCATGCCATGCCTGGCTCTGATAGGAATTGATAACATCCTAGCCTCCTTGAAATTAAAAACTGACTAGTACAGAACTTCTCACCAGTGTTTGGTAACCACCATGTTTGATTTATCATCAGAGGCATTAAAATCCCTATGTCACTTTGCTCAGAGTGTTGACTGGCATCTACTCATGGCATTTTAAGAACTAGCTAAAATTGGTAACATAGAGGATGCTATTGTAACCTTTAGACATCAACAAACCTTATGCCAAGTATTCTCATTAGCTTATTACATCTGCATGAGGCTAACAAGGGATTATACTAGGGGAATGGCAAGATTGTGAAACAAGATATGAAATGATCTCTCTTCTGTCTGAGCTCAAATGGTTGGATAATATTTTGTTTGATTAGGATTTTATGATATTTTCTAGCTTCCCAGGATCAGCACAGTCTTCATCTTACTGGGAG